GTGTAGGACAGGGTAATGGGATTTTGTGCCTTCCAGTTTCCATTTGTGATGGCTGATGAGCTTTGGTGAGAACGTGCTTCAGTTGCACACCCTTCATTATGAGGTGATATACTTCAGCTTGTTCCTAATATTATTTTAAATATACAGTCGTACCTTGGAAGTCAAACGGAATCTGTTCCCAAAGTCCGTTCGACTTCCAAAATGTTCGGAAACCAATGTCCTGCAGCTGATTGGAAGCCGCGCTGGATGTTTAGCTTCTGAAAATCGTTCAAAAACCAGAACACTCACTTCCATGTTTTGATCGTTTGGGAGCTGAGGCATTTGAGAGCCATGGTACGACTGTATCTTACTAATGAGCTAATATCCTTGCTTTTACCTAGCAGGGCTGAAGATCTGTTTGTGTCCCTGTAAACTCAGTGTGCAGAAGGTCTATTGGAAAAGATTCTCCAGCTTCACCATATGCTGATATTTGACTTAGGGTGCATAGAGAGGAACCAGGTTTACAAGTGGCAATAAAATAAAATAAAAATAATAAAAATGCACTGCTGAAATTGTATTCTTTATGAAGCAATGTATCTCCCAAAGTTTGGCATATTTTCCGCCTCTTCAAGCCAGCTGGGATGAAATGTGTCTGTGGTACAGTTAGAAGCTTTGATATTACCTCTTCCTGTCTTGGCATTGTTGTTTGGCTGCATAAGTTCATACTCAGAAAGGCAAGCAGAAATGAGCTGGTGATGTAATGGCTGGTTTGGGTCATGCATAGTGTGTGTGTGTTTGTGCATGGAGTAGATACCACATTCTTGTTGCAATTGCAGTTGCAGAATAAATAGAGTAGTTTGGGTTGATCTAGGGAACATTTCTGCCCTTCCTACAACTAGTGGTGGCTTTGTGCTGGCACAGGGATGAGGAACCTGTGGCCCTACAAATGCTGAACAACAGTTAATGGCCAGGAATGATGGGAGTTGTAGTCCAGCGGTATCTCGCAGGCCTCAGGTTCCCCACCCCTGGACTACAGCAGGGCTGGAGTGAGTTGAGAGTCCAACAACATCTGGAGGGACACATGTTTTCCATTCCTGGGCTGTCAAAACGCACTTTCACTGCAGAAGGTTAGGCAGGACACCCAGTTGAAATCACCGCCACCCTTTCAGTAATATGTAGTGCCTTTCTTGGCCAGGGCTATACATCTTTTGTGCTTCTGCAACATCTTCATTTCATGGCTTGCCTGCTGTTCCCCTTCCAGCAGCCTGCTCAGCTTTTTCTAGCAACTGGAGTCTTGTCTAGCAGGAAGAGTCCATCTGCACGGAGAGGTTGGTGCCCCTGAGTCAAAGCCAACAAGATGCCATCACCTTTGACCACTGGCCAAGCTGGGTGGGACTGATGGGAGTTGTTGTACAGCAACTTCAGGAAGTCATCACCTTGGTTTTCCCTGCCCACTGACCAGTTCAGTTTTTTTGATGCCAAGGGGCTACTGCCAGGGCTTCTGTGCACGTCCAACAGATTCATCAGATCAAGCCTTTCTGAGCATGGAGGATGTAATGATGGAAGAGCCTTCCTCTACTGTAGCCTTTGCCTTCCAGATTGTTTGATCAACAACTGATAGCATCCTGGCCATTGACCACACAGGTTGGGTCTGATGTGGGTTGTATTTCAAAACATGGAAGGCACCAGGTCGAGTCTACTGCACCTCTCACTGTAATGCGGTTGGTAAAAGTACCCCCCCCCAAAAAAAAGAGTGTGAGGGGAGAAAATGTTGCAAACCTTTTGATACCTGGGACTGGCTCACTCACAACCACCTCCTTCATTGGCCCCCCTGCATTGTAGTTGCTGTTTACCACTCCCTCCACTAACAGCAGCTCTGAAGCACAGTAAGCCCTAGGATGGATCAATAGGCCTCCCTTCCAATGGGCAAACCTGCTTTTGAAGCCTCATACTGCCTGCATGCCCATTATTTATACTAGATAGTAAAGTGCCCATTCCCCTTCTTGAAATCATGGTGTGGAATTAACTAGTTATTGCCTGGCCCTGCACCATGCTTTATAAATTGGCAGCACTGTGCTAAAAAGAGGATTTTCCAGTCACTAAAGGTAAGAGATAATGTGGTTCCTTGTGACACTTAAGAGCCACCAAAGTGAAATAAGCATCATATTCCTCAGTGCATGTGTAGGGTAATTGCAAGTTACCTAAACACTCCCCCTGCCCCTTGCCCAGGCCTGCATCTTTCCCCAAGACTGAGCTACTAGAGCCAGCTCTGGCACTCTGCTGCCTCCTAGGGAAATTCACAAGAAGTACATAAAAATAAAGGTAGCTGTTTTGGTCCATAAGCACAATCCAAAATCCACAGCTGGACAGTTCCTTTTGGGGGGACCAACCCAAAGCCAGAAAATCACGGCAAGTTTTGAGGTCTCTAGAACTCTTAATCTGGAAAGATGTTACACAAATCAGGGTGGGATTGGGGCGGGGGGTGGGGAGATGGATGTTGTAGCCTATAGCCATGAGGTCAGCTCTGTAGATTCATTTCTAAGATTGGGATCTCAGGCTGAATACAATTCTGTAACCGACATAGACTTTCATAGCAGAGTAAGGCAAGAAGTTGTTGCGGGCCGTAGTGTGAGGCAAATCTTCATGGCCTGTTCTGCCTTTAAAGCCAGCTGTTGGAGAGAGCTGTTTCCTATTCATGCTGCATCCCGCAGATGTAAGAGCAGACACCTGGATATCAGAGCACCTTTGCTGCTATCAGTTTTCTGCCTTCTTCTCCTGATATGAGAAGAATACATGCATAGTCAGCAAGCCTTGTAGCTATATCAGACAAAGTGCGCTCTGGTTCACAAAAGCATGTGCTATAACAAATTTGCCAGCCTTTAAGATGTGGGGTAAGCACAAAGCTCTTTGCTGTTTATGCTGCAACAGACAGTGACCCCTCTGGAAACCATACTTAAAGTTACCCTAGAATGGGGCAAAGAAGCAAAATGGTTTTTAAAAATAAAAATGAAGGGCTGAAAAAGGATCCTGGTTCTCAAGCAGGGATCCAGTGTTTATGCTAGAGAAACAGGGATCCTTACCACAACTTTTATGAGGCCCACCTAAAAAGACTAAGGTGAAGAAACTCAGGCCCAGGAGTCTAACACAGACCTTCAAGCTCTTGGAACTTTCCCCAGGCCACCCTGCTCACCCCTCCCCTCTCCCCATGTGCTTTTGCCTGGCTGGCATGTGTCTTTGAACTGTGGCAAAACCTCTTGCTTGCATGGATGCAGGATGGGGAGCTGTGCCTGGGGTGTGTGTGTGTGTTGAGCCCTCTAACATTTGTGCAGCTGGAATGAAGCCCACTGTAGAAAGATGAGTCACATCCCTTACTTTGCCCATGTTTGCTTCTTGTCCAAGCCTACCGCTGGCACATGCACGTACGCACACACACACCCCAGATGGTTGCGTGTGAAGTAATGTGTCCCTTGGGTTGGAAAGGTTTCCCCACCCCTGCTATAAGCACTAACCAGCGCAAGACTCTTCACTGTGCCTGGACTGTGTCTCTCCCAAAGAATGCACTCTGTGCATATTTTGCCAGAGAGCCTGCTCTGGTGGTTCTTCCTGGCTGAGGCCCCTGCCTTCCTCCTTGTTTCTCCAAGAAGGTAACAAATCCTCATTCCACAGTGCCTCTGCTGTGCTAGGATGTTGATTCTCACACAGAGCAGTTCCTCTTCTTTTCAGAACTCCAGGCATCTGATCACTTCCCTGTTACCAACCACCAGGGGAACATTTATTCATTTGCATGTCTGTTTTCTAAACCTGAACATTTACCCCTCTCCAGGTGACTCTTTGTTAAGCGCTAGGCAAAAGGAAGGTGATGTGTGGTCCAAGGCAGCAGGGAGGTGGGGGTCAGTGGAAGTGAAATGAGAAAAGGACCAGGTGTGTGTTGTGGAGAAAAGATTCCAGTTTAGGAAATTTCCATAAGATTTTGAAGATTTCTCAATTTTGGGGGCTACAGACTGAGAAGCTCCATACAATTATAGTATATTCTCATCCATTCTCCCTCGCAGTGGGTGGCGCTGTGGTCTAAACCTCTAAGCCTCTTGGGCTTGCCAGTCTGAAGGTCGGCAGTTCAATGGGGTGAGCTCCTGTTGCTCTGTCCCAGCTCCTGCCAACCTAGCAGTTTGAAAGCACATCAGTTCAAGTAGTTAAATAAGTACCGCTGCAGCGGGAAGCTAAATGGCGTTTCCATGTGCTCTGGTACTTGTCACGATGTCCCATTGTGCCGGAAGCGGTTTAGTCATGCTGGCCACATGACCCGGGAAGCTGTCTGTGGACAAAGGCCAGTTCCCTCAGCCTGAAGCGAGATGAGCGCTGCACCCCATAGTCGCCTTTGACTGCATTTAACTGTCCAGAGCTTCTTTGCCTTTTTTTTTTTTACATCCATTCTGACCAGGGAAAGCAGACCTTGGCAACAGGGTCACAAGGTAAAGAAAAGAAGTAAGTTTCTGTGTGGCACTGCTGCCTTAGGAGTACATTTTTGCAAGTTCGGCTTGTTCCACAGGGATGAGGAAAAGCTCACTTTTAATGCTAAAGGAGCATTGTCTTCCTTGACATCCAGTCCTTTGACCCTGTTAGTTCTGGCACAGGAATCTCCCTTTTTACGAGTACTCCCTTGCTAGCGTGGCTGGCTTATGCCAACTGCAAGTTTTGCCTCACTGATTACAGCTAAAGTTGTAAGGACTGAGTTCCCCTGTTTCAGTGCTGAAAGCATGTCCCAACATGCTGTGTCCATGGCAAAGGGTGTTTATTTGTCCCTCTGTGCAGTGAGACATAACCTGCTTCTTCTTTCTGCAGGTGACTGCTGTTCCTGGAGGTGGTAAGTTCCCAACTGCAGAGAGTGTTGGGGGCCATGGAAGAAGTTTGAGATAAGGGGGACTGGGTGTACTTTTCATACAGAGGGGGAGGGGTGGGGAAATGGACCTCTTTGGACCACAGACACCTTTGTGTCTCAATACTTACTCTGGTTGCATTATCACTCTGACATGAGGGTTATAGCTAACAGTGGAGAACAAGAGAAACAGAAGTACTGAATTTTGGTGGCCCAGGGCACGCCGTATCAGATGCTTGAGGTGTTATCCTCAGGTGGTATTAAGTGGGTCTACACAAAGGCATAAAGAGATTTTGTAAATAGTCAATTGTCACAGGCTGCAATTTTTTGCATTTCATTGCCGTTTGACTCCACTGTGTACACACCTCTTTATTTTGAGGGTTGCCTTGTTCTGCTCACAATCCTGTGTCTTTAACAACTGCAGTGACAGGGAAAGCTTTGCCTGCTGAGTTGCTTTTCACAACTTACCTAACCTTTCCCCATTCTACTTTCTCAGGCTGCTGATGGCGTCGATGGAAGCCCTGTATGCTGCTCTGCAAGATCAGATCCAGTCCTTTGAGGGACACATAAGAAGCTGCCAGCAAGCTTTTGAAATTGACACCCTTTACAATGTGTTGCTGCTGCTGTCCCCTGATGCAGATATCCAGAGCCTTGAGCAGCTGGAAAAGCTTGTTGAGTCCAGGGAGCAGGATGGACAGGATAGAGTGAGGATCACAGCTGGCTGTGATAAGTGTGACATTGCCAGCTACATCTCCTGGTTTGTCACCTATGTGCGGTACCTGGGCTCCTTGAAAGGGTCATTTGACACCAAGGTTGTGTTTCCATTGTGTGAAAACCTATACGTTAATGATGACTCGCTTGATGCATTGAACTTTGGACACAGGAGAGGACATGGCCTTCGTGCCCCAGCATCCGTTGCACGCACAGCCAAGCAGTTGTTCTCTGTCAGGAGGAAATGGGCTTTGCTCCTGAAAGGGGACACAATTGATGCACAGTTTTTCAGCCCCCAAAGCTGGCTTGATGTGCAGGGCTTTGGCAGCGCCTGTCCCTTTGGGAAGGTCTTGAGGTTGGTTCCTGACCTCTTTCACAAGGGCTTGGCTACTGCCAAGCTTGCCAGGCTGTGGGTGGAGCGCCATGCCAGCAACCATGGCACCCGCCCAGTGCCCTCAGATCTAGGCTCAACCGAGAGAGGCAAAGGACTGGCTGCGGACAGCTTGGAACACCATGGATACAACAGCTCCGTTTGCCAGCCTGGGCTACCCCAAGCCCAACATGATTGCTTGGAGGTTTGGCCGCCGCCGCAAGCCACCAGCAGCAGGTGCAGCAATGAGAGGGGCAGCTCCATGAGAAGTGCCAGCCAGGGAAGGAACGAGCTGCACGAGATCCATGGGGAACTCATGTCCCTGTGGCGGGAGGAACGTTCTCTGAGCTTGGAAGCAGAGATTCAGGAAGTAAACCAGAGCATTTCCAACCTGCGGCATCACCGAATGGCTAAGGAAAGGGAACTGGAAGCCCTTGAGCAGCAACTGGAGAAAGACCATTTGAGTGTGCCCTGCCCACAGCGCCAGGCTGTTCTCTGTGAGCTGGATGCCTTGGGGAGGCAGCTGAGGCTGGAAGAATACCGCAAGAGCATCCTGCAAGGTGACTGGCTGCTAGAGTTGGAGGTCAGGCCAGTCCTTATGCGACCAATAAATACAGTAAGAAGCTAGGAAGTTAACCTACTGTGGGACCCAAAGGTGGGCAGTATGCTGCCAGCCCAGAAACAGAGCGGGCTAGATCCCTTGCAGCTGGAAGGTGGTGGGCCTGTGGCTGGAACTGGGTCTCGGGTGGAACCAAAAGGTGATGAACGCAGGGATTCAAAAGGGAGAATAGCAATCTTGGGACAAAGGATGGAAAAATTCAGTCCCCTTTGAGAGATGAAATGTGTGTCTTTTTATCTTTCTTCTAGCTGCAGGAACGCTTCCAGGGGCTTGCACAGCTATTGCAGGGTAGGGAAGAGGTTCCCCTGGATCTTCAGCTCGCCAATGAAACATAGACTCTCCCTTCTGCTTGGTTGCCTGCCTCTCAGATGAAGGTCAACTTGCTTCTGGGTGCATCACTTAATATATACCACCTCAAGCCTAGCTTCCGTTAGGTTGATCGCTGCAATGTATTTTACTTTGGGCTGCCATTCATGACTATCCAGAAGCTCCATTCAGTGTGAGACACAGTGATCCATCTCCTGTCACAGGGAGCATTTTAAACCACTGTTCCAGTATTGGTAACGGCTTTCTGTGATCCTCTGGGTGCAATTTGGGGTGTTAGTTTTAACCTGTAAAGTTCTAAATGACTTGGGGCTAACATACCTAAAGGTTGCACAACAATTATGGAACTCTGTCTTATTGTAAAGTCAGTGAAACCAAAGCTTGAACAGTTATTTGGAAGCATTGTGAAGCCTTTTTGAATGAGGTAGCTTGGGGAGGCATGATTTAAGCTGGTAGAGCAAGGGTGGGAAATCTGCAGCCCTCCAGAAGACTCCAACACCCATCATTACTAACCATTGGGTATGGGAGTCAGAGTTGGGAATCCAACAACGTGTGGTAGAGAGTTTGGATTTTTAACTTCTTCTTTTTTACACTTCAGTTGGTGTTCTAGTTTGGGATGGGGTAGATTATATATATTGATTGCTAAATAAAACAATTTGGCATGGTGTCTCTCTTGTTGGTGAAAACTGTTCAGGTAGATCCGTTGTTGTCCCTGGAATGTCCATACCCTGCAAAGAACACCCTTCCCAAACCCATCCTCTAGTCTAGCATCTAGTAGCAGTGGCTTTAATTTCAGTTCTAGTAATAGCTACAATTGTGCAAGGTAGGATGCAAGTGAGAATTGCTAGCTTCTGTAGGGGTTTGGATAGCTCTTGCTTGCACAGCACAGGACCTTGTTGCACTATAGTGTAGTAGGGGAACTGTGGTTCATTCAGCTGCTGTCACCAACCTTTTTTTACTGAGATGCTGTTTTTAACACACACACACACACACACGTACACACACTGTTAGTAGCTAGGCATGGAGTATTCCTTGTTCACTTGTTTGGGTTTCCATACGCTCGGCGCATGCAGCTGTTTTTAAAGCAGAACTGGAACTTGGTGACAAGTCAGTATTTCCCCAGGGACAGAGTATCAGCCACCAAGAAGTTTTCCGATAAAGTAAAGGGAAGCAAAACAGGAACCAGAATCTGGGTGGGGAAGCTGACCAAATTCCAAATGAGAACCAGTCTGTGGTGGTGATGAAATCAATCATGACTTGAAGTCATGATAGTCAGTGGACTGCATGATGGGGGGGACACATGTTGCTGATGGAGTTCAGCCACCGCAGGCTACTCAAGTTTGTGACCTGGGGTGCTCCTGCAGCTACTGCTGCATCTTGAACTCTAAGAGTGTGGTGGAGGGCAGAAGTGCTTTTTACTACCCTGAGAAGGCTACCGCCCTTTCTGTTGCAATTAGACCTTGCCATTACTGTTCAATAAATGAAAGTTCTGATGTGCAGTAGCTGAGAATGTGACCAGAGAAAACCCTGGTTCAAATCCCACCCAAATAACAGTATGTAGCTTCAGGCAAGTCCAGGGATGGGGAACAAGTGGCTGGCTCTCCAGATGTTGTTGGACTCCAACTCTCATTAACCCCAGCCAGCGTGGCCAGTGGTTAAGGATGGTGGAAGTTGTAGTTGTAGAAGGCCACAGGTTCCTCATTAGTGCTCTGGAGAGCCACAGCTTCCCTACAGCTTCCAGTCTATACTACGGAGGTGGTATTATTGACCTCTTAAGGTAAAGGTAAAAGTACCCCTGACCATTAGGTCCAGTCGCGGACAACTCTGGGGTTGTGCGCTCATCTCGCTCTATAGGCCGGGGGAGCCGGCGTTTGTCCGCAGACAGCTTCCGCATCATGTGGCCAGCATGACTAAGCCGCTTCTGGCGAATCAGAGCAACGCACATAAACACCGTTTACCTTCTCGCTGGAGCGATACCTGTTTATCTACTTGCAGTCGATGTGCTTTCGAACTGCTAGGTGGGCAGGAGCAGGGACCGAACAATGGGAGCTCACCCCATCGCAGGGAATCAGCAAGCCCTAGGCTCTGTGGTTTAGACCACAACGCCACCCTATTGACATCTTACAAGGCTGTTAAAAGGCATAACAATGTAATGTATGGGAAAGGCTTTGATCACTTGAAAAGCACTATATACATGCAAAATGCTGTTGTAACTTCAAAACAAATACAGTCGTACCTCAGAAGTTGAATAGAATCCGTTCTAGAAGTCCATTTGACTTCTGAAACGTTTGACTTCCAAAGCATGGCTTTGGAAAACTGGGACACTCACTTCCAGTTTTCGATTGTTCGGGAGCCGGAACGTTTGACTCCCGAGGTGTTCGGGAGCCGAGGTAAAACTGTATGTTATTAAATTTGCCCTTGATGATAGCCTGAGAGCTGTTTGACCAGCCTCTGCCACCAAGGGCATCTGAGAAAGCCCTGATTTTCACCAGAATTCATTCCTTCTGAGAAGGGATAAGAGAAGGGCCATTCCTAGCACAGCCCAGGTGTTTGGAGGGAAATTGCCTACAGAATGTTATTCCTGCAGGCATTCATGAAGGCTGTGAAAAACTACTTGTTTAGAGTGGAACTGCACTTTACAGCCATATTTAACAAAGCTAGGGTGGCTACTTCTGTTGGGGAAAAGCAGCTTTGAGAAAGGATGATTTGGAGTGGAGAGGAGGGCTCTTTACCCTGCCCTTGCCCACTTCTTTTCTGCTGGACCTCCTGCCTTCACGCTGCTCCACAAACGCACTTGCAGGGTTCCAGATGTGTGCTTCCCCTCTCTTTCCTGACAAGCAGCCTATACAATGTAAAGGGGGGAAATCCAGCTTTAAATGTGCAATTTAAGTGGAGGGATGATTTGATGTTAGTTTTTACCTCAATATCATGAGCTTGATAGTGAGACCTTGAAGAGACACTGTCAGCCAGACATCAGTTTGTTAATATGCTGGACTGAGGCTTCAGAAACATGAGAGGTTCCAGCAACAGGGATGTGTGCACAGGGATGTGCATTTTCTAGAAACAGACCTAGTTAGCAAGCTATGCCTCCACACGGCCTTATTGCTGGAATCTCTCATGTTTCTGAAGCCTCAGACCAGCATATTGACAAATGATGTTGCCTTACGTTAAGAATACATGTACCCATGTCATGCTAGGAAGGGCCTACCATACTCCAGTTTGTTCCTATGATCCTACTTAAGTGGCTATTCCTTCCTGAGTTGTCTGTTTCTGGTGCGCAGAACAAGAACCCAGGCGCAATGCTCCAGTGAAGGGTTTATTGGTGCATATCCATTTCTATTACATTCAGAGGAGTCGTAATGCACAGGCAGAGTACCAGGGACTTTGCCCCCAACAGTTCAAGTTTCCTAATCCTGGCCTTGCAGGGCACAATGGAGGTCACTGTCTATGGGTGGGGCAGGCTGGCAGCCAGCTGGGAATGAGTAGAGGAAAACATTTGGCCTCATAACTACCCAGCCATCAGCAGGCAGCCCCTGAGGTAGGTGGGGAGGGACAGCCTCCATTTTATAGACAGGAACAAGCAATGGCCCGGAGTAGTTCCATGAGCCAAACTCTTAAGCCACAGCTGGCACATTTGCACACCCCATTATTCCATATACGTAATCTAACAGAACAGATTTAGCTACAGGACATCACAGTGTAGAGTCCCCATGTGATGGCCCAGTGGGAGAGCAGCTCTTCGAAACCTTGCACTGATGGTGTTTGTGCATGTGCTCAACCGCATGGAACACACCACCTGTGCAGTGCCCAGGACTAGATACATGACATTCACCAATGAAGTACAAGGGAGCACAGTATTCTGTTTCTAAAAATCAGATTCGGTGACTGAAACAAATGTATATTTCTGTGAAATTTAGTCCTATCACAAAAATCTGAATTTTCTTTATATGGCAGTTGAAGGGAAATATGAAAATAGCAGGGTTTAAGAGTACAAGAAGGCAGCTGATGATGGTGTTGGGAGAGTGGTTGTGAGGGACTGAGGAGGAGCCAGGAATGGGAGGCCACCAACTTGGAAATGTCAAGGGATGAAGAGAAGCCCCAAGTGCTACAGAGGGCTCATACAGTGCAATGGCTCAATGCCACAGTGGCAGAGTACCTCAGCCCTCCTCGAAGCCATCCCCATTCCAGTTGCCAAGGCCAGGCTAGGGGGTGGCCTCCTGGAGACTTGGATCTGGTAGTGAATCTTGCTCAAGCTGGGGCCACTACAAGGCAAGAACAAGGTGAGAAATGCAATAGCTGTGCGGAGGATGGAGAATAGAGCAGGAGCTGTGAAGAAGAGGCTACAGCAAGAAACAAGATGAAGCTGGAAATACTGAAGGAGGAGTTGTAGTCTGAAGCACAAAGTCTAGTATAATAGGTAAGAGGTTCTGTTATGTGATGAGGCAAATACCAAAGGCCAAGGTGCCAGTGTTTGTACCTGGTGTGGCTTTTTGCTGCTTGCCTATTACACTGATGTTGGGAGTTCCTGTTTTCCACTGGGCCTGAAGAGGGCAGTGAGCCACAAGAGTGGTGTCAAATCTGTGTGATGATTTCCTGACCAAGAGATGATCATAGTCTTCATTCAATCATTAGGTTAGCTGTTTCCTGGCCTCCAGGTTATGTTGGCAAGTTTTACCTGCACTTCCTTTTCCTGTCTGAGGGGTGGAGATCTACTTCACAAATCACTGTCTACTCTTTGGGCAACCTTTACGGCTGTCCTGAGAGATGACGAGAACAGGCACAGCACTGTGCACAAGGAGACACATGTGCACATGGATATTGCACAAGTACCTGCATTATACTTGAGAGCAAATCAGGGTGCATAAGGCCCTTGCTAACTTACCCAGCAGTTTACTGGCTTCAGCAATCATCACTGCCATTCCTCAAATGGAAGAGGTTCAGAGTCTTCTGTGGGCAGGAAATCTTAGCTAAGGACATCATTCAGAATGGCAGGTGGACCACAGGCTGTTGAATGTTCATGGGCACAGTCATGGGACTGAATGGCAATGGTTCAGCATGGAGAGACCAGTTGGTGCATGTGAAATCTCCCACCCCAGGAATCTGTTGGCTCTGCCTGAATGCTATCAGGCTTGGCATTTCTGGCAGGACCTAGCTGCTCTTTTCCTTTGCTGGCCTGCTGCTTTTCTCCCCTTAGCAAAACAGTGCAGTCTACTTCTCTTCTTAGGGGAGGAGGCTAATGAGAGCTGGCTAAGGTACCTACTCTGGCCTACGCATGGCACAGCACCAACACCAGCAAGCTCTGCTTGGGGGAAATGGGGGATGGTGGTGCTGGCCCCATACTCTCTGTGTGTCCAGAAGGCAGCATCTCTTGCGCTGCTTGGCCCAAGCTTCCTTTGTGGCCTGGAGCTTCCTTGAAGGGCTATGACACAGCTGCCAGTTGGTCCAGGCCCACAATCATTTCAAAGCCACTTCAGGTTGGTGGTTGTTCAAGGAAAGCACAAGGAAAGAAGGCTTATCCCATGAAGCCAAGGGAGTGCCAGGGCCAGTAGACACATGCCAACTTCTCACACAGGCATGTGAAGCTCATTGTACTCATCCTGCCCATCTTCATCAAAGTTTGGTTCTGCATCCTCGGAATCCAGCTGCAAGTGGGAGGAAAGGACAGAA